GTGAAATGTATTAGTGTTTCATATGCACCTTATATACACATAGCCTGAAGATAATTTTGTTTTTTCCTTGAGGAAGCAGAATGTATCCTGCGCCTGCATTTTGACTGACCCATTACATGAGGTCAGGTGTGGAATTTTCTGCTTGTGGTGTCATGTCAGGGCTCAAAATGTTTTTGGAGATTTTGGAGATTTTTGGATTAGGGAAACTCAACCTGTTTTAAATCAGTTTATCCTCAAACAGCTCTAAGAGATAAGTACTCCTATCATCCCATTTTACTGATAAGTATGTGGAAGCACAGAGAGGCAGGGTGACTTCCCTAAGGACACACAGCTGATAAGGGGCTGGGCTGGGAGCTGACTCCAGGCAGGTTGGCCCCAGCTGTGCTGTAATCATTACTGTTTGGCTCAGAGAGAAGGGCCTTCTTCTGAAGGCTACTCATAGCAGGTGAGTAGCCTCGAGGTTCCTGAGCCCCTGGCTTGCCATTCTTTCTCCTGAAGCTGGCCCAGTGCCATGCTGGGTGCAGGGCACGTGTTGGGAACTTGGCTGACACATGCGGGTTCGGGAGCGACTGGGCACCTTTGGTCATTCTGCTGTAGGCTTGGTTCCCCAGTGTGAGCTAGAGGAGGGTGGCAAGGTGGGGCAGGTGCCCTGGAAGTGACTGTCGTCCTGGGGCCCAGGCAGTACTTCCTGCTTTGTCTCCAGGGACTCCAGAGCCCCAGGGAGTAGGAGTTGGCTTTCTCCCTCCCCTTTCCCCGGGGATTGAGGTAGGGGGTGCTGGCCTCCCATGACCCTGAGCTGTCAGCGCTCTGCCTTTCTGCCTGGGCCTTTCTGGAGGACAGGGAGAACTCTGTGTGCTGATTCAAGGCTAGAACAAGTTCCTTCAGCCATTGCAGGTTTCACAAAGAGGAAGTGTGAGTCACCGGGGCCTTTACAAGCTCCAGGTGAATGGAAGGGGTGTGATGAGGGTGCGCTTCCATCTCTCTTGGGCCCCATGGGCTGTGGGAGGGGATCTGGGAGGGCTGGGGCATTTCATTATTGTTCGGGTGATTTTTACTGGAAGTTCTTTTGAAGTGGTCTTCGTGACCCAATGGCGCTGAGTCACAGAGTAAATAGAATTAGCATGGGCCGGGCTCTTGGAAAGGACACAGACAGTGCCTGTGGCCCGGGCCAATCCCAGAGGGTCACCAGGCTGGCTTCCTCCCAGAGGTTTCCTTCTGCCCCTCCCAGAGTTTCAGCTGCAGCCTCCGTGTGCATCGCACCTTGGGACTCCAGCTCTGGGCCAGTGTGTGGAGCGCTTGCCCTGGGGGCTTGTGAGAAATGTATTCTGAAACCCCACCCTCACCTGCTGAATAAGAGCTTGCAGTGCCCAGGTAGTTCCTTTGATAGTAAAGAATCTCCTGATATCACACTCTGGCCCACATGCTCACATCTAAACTTGGCCTCTTCTGGAAATGTTCCCACGTCATCCACTCTCTCTGGGCCTCGTCAGGACCTCTGCAAAGTACTTGGTAGTTTGCATGAGTTTGTGGTCGGTGCCCTGCTTTGGGGGTGTGTGTGTGTGTGTGTGTGTGTGTGTGTGTGTGTGTGTGTACACATCAGGAGGCTGATCCTACAGCCCCCGTTAGCCCTGGCCACTCTGTGAGGTGGAGAATGTCCCTCCATACCATTTCTCCTTCCACAGCAGCCCATCATCCTAAGTTTCAGGGTCAGGTGGGGTGGAGATGCCTTCAGGAGAACCTGGGGGAGACTGTCTCTTTCTCCTGGATTGGGGCATGGCAGAGGATGCCGACACCTGTCCCTCAGCCCCATAGAAGCCACCGGCCTTGAAAGGACACCGTGTGACATTGGGGGGAACAGTGGCTTCTTTTGCCTTTTTCTGACAGTCCTGACCACACAGGCCTTTAGGACAACAATAACCACAGAGACAAAGCCTGACCGAGACAATGTCGTCTTTGGGCCTTCCCCCCCCCCCTCCTTTAATGATGTCCAAGGCTCTGGGAACATTGTAAAAACTGGGTCTTGTCCAATTTTAACCACGCCCCCCACCAGCTCCTAGGATCCCTGCCAGCTTCCTGGGGAGGGGGTGGGGGTGATGCCCAGAGATGCACATAAAGATGTCATGCTGCCCTGGTCAGGCCTCAGAGCCCAGTCAGGACTGCAGGGACAGGGAAGAGGAACAGAACGTGTCGGTTGGCCTGTGGACTCCCCCAGCCAGGGAGGGAGGTGGTTGGAGAGAGGGAAGGGTGTCTGCCAAGCTTAATTAACAGTGGAAACTTGCCACGGGGGAGGAGAGAGACAATCTGAAGAGGAGGGGCAGTTTACTGGAAGATGGGGTGCCGCTGATGCCAACGGTAAGAAAGAGGGGAGCGTTCCAGCAGCGGCATCCGGAGCACAGGCTGCCAGTGTCGTCAGCCGGGATGGGTTGAACGTAGGGATTTCTGGAGGTGAGAATTTATTTGTGCCTGCTTTCCTGAGTAGGCGTCTTCCAAAAACAATCTGCTCATGTATCAGTCGGCTAGCCTTCCTTGCCGCCATAAAGAAGAAATACTATTTAAAGAATGACAGTTGAGTTTAGGAAATAGACATTGTGTTGGGTTCTTGTTCTTTGAAGATATCAATGGATTGCCCGAATTGCATTTGACTTTATTTCACAGCTGTTGAAGCCACACGTAATGTGTATGATGTAGAAAGAGAGATGGGTTAAAAAAGTGTGATGCTCATTGTTTTGTTGAGACAAAAATGCAGAGATACTGAATGCACAGCAAAACTCATAGTGTGGGTTGGACTTCAGATACGGGAGGTAGAGCATGGGTTATTCAATTTTTTAGCAGAATTGCAGAATTTCAAGGCTGAACCCGGTTTTCTGGTTGTATCTCCCTTTAAATGTACTGACTTTGCCATGCCATCCATGCCACTGAGTGCTGGGCCTCCCTCACTGTCTCACCCCCAGGCTTTTCATACCTGGCAGTGCTGACTGTGGTCATCCTGACCTGTTCAGAGATGCAGCTTTCTCCAGCATCTACCCACTGCTCCTGGTTTGGCTGCTGGAGGCCATCAAGAGCAAATCTAATCCCTTCCAGTGGTCCTGCTGAAGGACAAGACACCTACCCATTCCCCGGTCATCCTCTTCAGTCCATGCTCAACACCTTCGGAAGTCTCTGAAAATGTGATAATGAGGCTACCGGTCCTTGCCAGTCTCTCCTGTCCTAGTTCTTGCCATTACCAAAGTTGCTTTTTGCTTGCTTTTTCTTTTTTCTCCCCCCTTTCATCTCTTTTTCTGATGGACACACCTGCTAGCTCACCTTCCTGCAGTCTGCCTCTCTGCCCTCCTGCATGATCCTCACCTCCCCAGCAAAGTCTCCCCACTGTCCCCTCAAGGTCTCTCCTGTCCCCCAGGGGCCTCCCACCTACCATGTGTCTTCCTCTCCCCTGCCTTACCCCAATTTCTTAATTTCTCCTCTTTCCCTTCCAAAGATGTGCATGGGGTGCTAGTCAAGAGTTGCAGTTGGAAGATGTTTGTTTTTTTTGGAGATGGGATCTTACTCTGTTGCCCAGGCTGAAATGCAGTGGCATCATCATGACTCATTGCAGCTTCGACCTCCCCAGGCTCAGGTGGTTCTCCCTCCTCAGACTCCCAGGTGGCTGGGACTACAGGTGCGTGTCACCATTCCCAGCTAAGTTTCTGTATTTTTTGTAGAGATGGAGTTTCACCATGTTCCTCAGGCTGGTCTCGAACTCCTGAGCTGAGGCAGTCTGCCCACCTCGGTCTCCCAAAGCACCGTGATTATCGGCGTGAGCCGCCGTGCCCAGCTGGGAGCTCCTTAAATTTGGTCCCTACATTTCTGGTTCCAGAGTCCAGGATCTCATTAGTTCTTGGCAGCTTTCTGATGCCAGAGCCCTAAGGCTTGTTCAAAGCCCTTATTTCAAAAATTCCATCTCCAGCTCACCCACTTGGCCTGGTACATACCGCTCTTCATTGTATAGTTCTGTTGGCTCCAGGAACAAAACACTGTATTCGTCCTTGTTTTCCGTGACCGGCCATCTCTGCGTGTTATGCTTTGTCCCCTCCCAATTTAGTCTCTGGGTCAGTTCGCCCTCCCTTTTAATTTTGTGTCATCCATGGTCTTGATGAGCAAAACGCACCTTCTGTTTCTGTTAATCATAGAAATGTAATTGCTGAAATGGGATGGGGGAGGGACCTTATAAGCTGTCTGGTTGAACTCCTTCGTTTTGCTAACCAGGAAACAGAGTTCCAGAAAACAAAAGCAACTTGCTCAGCACGACCCAGCTATGGGCACCTACACAGAGTTAGGTTCAGAAACTGGGCTTCACAGTGCTAGGCGGGTAACATCTGGTTTTGAAAATATTTGAATTCAAACCAAACCACAGTGGTTGTGTGTCCACAACTAGGAATTAATATTAAGTGTGGACAAAAAAAAGCGCTACCTTCTGGCTTTGGTGATGGTATAATTGCTCATCATTTTAGGAGTAACTTTTAATAAGGGGGCAGTTACTAACTAAATTATTAAGAACTGAGCTGAATACAGTTAGAACCTAAGAGCAAAACAGAAAAAGAAAAGATAGTTCAGTTGTTTAATTTCTGCTCTGTTACCCTCCTCATGGAAGCCAGAATCATATTGATAGAGATCTGTAGGAAACCCCCAGACCCCATCTTTACCTGGGACACATCACTCCCTTCCTAAGCCTTTCTCCAGATGTTCCAACAAGAAGTCAGCTGACTGGCTCCAAGTTCCCCTCTGCCCACCCACCCAGAGCAGGAGGGGCCAATAAAGTGAGGCAGGGGACTGGGCAGAAACACCAAAGTCCAGATCTGCTGAGTGCGCCTCCTCTGCTGGGCCCCAGATGTGGATTTCTAGTGCCTGGTGCATGCGGCTCTCATGGCCTGGCATTGATTGATGATTAGCTGGCCTGACACTGGCTTTGGGTGAAGATGAGTGACCCCTTCGGGTTAGTAACATGGTCGCCCCTCTTTCCCCAGGTTCTACCTATAGCGTCCTATCCACCATGCCGTCAGACTCAGAAAGCAGCAGCTCCCTCAGCAGTGTGGGTAAGTACCACCTTCTGGGGAGGACACTGGGTGGGCCAGGGGTCTGTGTGGGAGCCAGGGCAGCCAGGGTTCATGGGAGAGGAAGGTGGCCCTCCCTGGTCAGAGTACTCACAGGATCATCTTCTGTTGATTTCATTTACACTTTCTCCTATCAGCAAAAACCCAGTTCTGATGTTAGAAGGGAGGTGGGCTGAGTGCTGGGAGGTACATGTTTTGCCATTGTTTACTTTGTCAGGGTACAGGGCTTCTAGAGGAGCCTGTTGTCCCATCACCCCCACCCCCACCCCCACCCCCAGCCCAAAGGCCTCATAGTAACTCAGTGACCACTACCCAGGAGACTTCACCCCTTTTGCAGTTGCCTTGGGAACAGGCATTGCCAGTCTATGCTGAATTGGTTATGTTTCTCTGCACATGGGTTCCAGAAAGCTCATACAATGAGGCCAGCCCTTCTCCGAGTTCCCTGAAATCCAGCAGGAAGGCCACAGTAGTCTCTCAGCCTTCCCACACCTCCGTGGCCCATTCCCTGCATGATGTGCCCTCTGTTGAACACCTCTAGTGCCATTTTTAATGGCCTGATCTGACCCTGACGGATGCAGACACCTTCAAAGGACTCACAGAGGTCATCTACTCCAATTATTTTCTTTTCCTCCTGTAGAGAGATGGGGAAATTGACATTCTGGGAGGGGAAGTCACATGCCTGAGATTCTCCAACTAGTCAGGACAGCTCTTTCATATGTTAGTTCACATCCTGAACACCTTCAGTATGCCAGAGGTGGGCTAGGGCCATAGTGGCAAATCAGGCGGATGTGGGCCCCACACTTCTGGATGTTAGGGTCTTTTGGTGGGGAACAGTTGAATAAGTAGCTGTAGTAAGGGGAGGGCAGTGTGATGAGAAGGAAGACAGTGGCCAGCAGGGGAGTTCCATCTCAGTTTTCTAAGACTGCTATTACAAAGTGCCGCAGACCTGGTGGCTTACACAACAGACATTTATTGTCTCACAGTTCTGGAGGACAGAAGCCCAAGATGAAAGTGTCAGTGAGGCCACGTGCACTGAAGGCGCTAGGGAGGGATCTGGCCTAGGCCTCTCTCCTCGCCTCTGGTGGCTTGCTGGCAATCCTTGGCACGCCTTGGTTTGCAGACATCACATTGATCTCCGCCTTTGTGTTCACATGATGTTCTCCCTCTGCGTGTGTCTGTCTCCAAGTTTCACTTGAATAAGGAAGGACACTGGTCAGATTGGCCTAGGAGCCTGCCTTACACCAGCACGACCTCATCTGTAAAGACTGTTCCACCATCAGCAATAATAACTGCCGTGGGTGGAGCAGCGCCCCGCTTGGGAATCCCCTTTTAGAATGAAGATGTGCCTAGGAAAGGTGACACTTTAACCTTTCCAGATAAGGTTCACATTCACATTTACTGGATTGGGACTTCAGTACCTTTTGGGGGCCCACAATTCCACCCACAAAAACACAGTTCCTCCCAGAATCCTCATCCTGTTTAGGGCTCAGGGTGGGCTCTTCTGGGACTGCAATTCAAAGCTCCTAACGGTATCCTGTCACTTTGTTCTGTCTGCTTTTGGTGCCCTGAGACACATCAATGGAATGATGGGATTGTTGGAATATGGAATGTGGGATTCACCCTTCAGGAAGTACATGGAGTGGGGCAGTCAGGATCAGTAGATGGGGAAGGTGAGGCTTTTGTAAGGTTGGGGACTGGGTAAGCCCTGAGCATACTCCTCTGACCTGTCTAGTTTTTCACCCTTCACCAGATAGCAATCAGCAAACTCATTCCCATCGGCATTTCAAGGATTAAATGGTTACCTTTCCTAGACACATGTGCATTCTGAAAGAGGATTCCAGAGAGGGGTATTGCCTAACCCACAGCAATTACTGCTGATGGTGGAATTCCTAGTCTGAGTAGGAGGATGCTTCTTGGGCAGCTGGACCCCAGCATACCCTAGAAGAAGAGTCATGGCCGTGACCCACCAATTGGTTGTGCACACACCTGAAGCTGGCTCAGTCCTTTCAATGGAGCTGCCAACAGTACCCCCATATTCTTCCTGGGAGTCACAGGCAGACAGAGGGACAGTGCTCTGATGTGTTTCTTGGAGCAGGCTGGGTCTGTACTGTCTGTGTCTGGGTCTTTAATGCGCAGTAGCTCACTCATGTAATCCCAGCACTCTGGGAGGCCGAAGCAGGCAGATCACGAGGTCAAGAGATCAAGACCATTCTGACCAACATGATGAAACCCCATCTCTACTAAAAATACTAAAAATATGAAAATTAGCTGGCCTTGGTGGTGAATGCCTGGAATCCCAGCTACTGGGGAGGCTGAGACAGCAGAATTACTTGAACCCAGGAGGTGGGGGTTGTAGTGAGCTGAGATCACACCATTCTGCACTCCAGCCTGAGCGACAGAGTGAGACTCCATTTCCAAAAAACCAAAACCAAAACCAAAACCAAAACAAAACTAATTGCATCCCTTCTGGGCAAAGCCTCTTGAGTTCACAGAGAACCAATTTTTGCTTCTCTTGCTCTTCTGCTTGAGGTTGCCATTGTCCTTTGGGTGCAGGCAGCAGGGAACACCCACTCACGCTGCCTTAACCAGTTGGGAAACATATGAGCTCACACACAAGGCTGTGCTAAGGTCAGCCAGTACATGGGGATGCAGCTCTGCCCTCCTCCGTGTGGTGTCTTCCTGCATGCTCATGGTGGGGTGTCTGTAGCAGCAGCTCCAGCCATCACATCCAGACCCGAGAGTGCCCAGGGCTGCAGTGTCCAGTATGGGCCCTACTAGCCACAGGTACTTAAATTTAAATGAATTAAAATGAAATTTGAATTTCTAGTTTCTCAGGCAAATCCACCACATCCCAAGTGCTCTGTAGCCATCTCCGGTGAGTGGCAGAAGAAGGCCGGCTCCTTATGAGCAAAGGAACTTGTTCCAGAGTCCCTCAGCATGGCCTCCTCTCATTGACCACAATTGGCAGCTTGTCTGCACTGAAAACAGTGGCTCACAAAGCCTGGTCCCTAGACCACTCATCTGTGATCAGAGATGCAGGTTTGAGCTTCCTTCCATACCTGCTGCATCAGAAACTCTGAGGGTTCCTACAGCTTAATAGCCCTCTAGTTTGAGATGGAGCAGCCTAACCTCATCCCTGGGAAGGGACTGGAATGTCTGTGCTAGGCTTGCACCAGTCCCTCAGGGTGGAATGCCTGGTGGGGTTGGCCCCAGGAACACTCCAGCCTCTGCCAGGGAGGTACTGCTGGCTCAGCCACACCTGACGAGAGGCAGAAGTCTTTGCAAGCACACAGCGCCCTGGCAGGAGGGGTCACTGGTAAGGTCGCATGGTGACCTTAGGAACCTGAGGAAAGGGAAGAGCAAGATCCTTATAATAAAAACATCACCTCCGCCTTCCCATTTACATCTTCCTAAATGGAAATGGCTGGGAACGAATGGCAGGTTGTCTTCAGCATGAGAGGAAATTGGAGGCTAAAGCCTTGGGCGTGTAGACAGCCTTCTCTTAGGGGGCTGTCCGGTCTCAGATCTCCAGCCTGGCCCTACTCATAATTCGCCTTACTTTTGCCAACAGCCTTAAAGGCTGCAGGTCTTTGTGCCAAAGCCTCCTCGGGCAGTTTTTATCAGCTAAGCACACACAGCTTCCCGAGGCCCTCCCCAGCCTCCTGTGCCTGTTGTTGTGACCTGCCCCCGACCCTGCCCTATGGATCTGCCCGGGGACTGCACGCTCATTTCAGGCAATGGATATTTTTTCTTCTCCATTCATCCTGACCTAATTTCTCAGTAGCCTTTTATTTTTCATCTTGGATAACTGGGGAGGTTTTAAGCAGGAGAAGAGACATTCTTGGGCAGCACTTGTAAAGTGAGCCTCATATTCCATGAACATTGAAATAGCAGGAGAGGTCTCCAGGACTTACTGGCAGGAGAAAGAGCTGGAGGGCTTCCCTCGTATCCCAGGGAAGATTCCTTGAAAGTGCCCCTTCTAGTTGACAGGGCAAAGTGGGATGAGCCATCAGGGAAGCAGGGGCTGCCCACTGATGCCCCGTGATCTCTGATTCTTCCTTCCTGGCCCAGACTTTTGAATCAGGGGTAACCCTTTGCAAAGTCAATTTTTCAGAGGTGGGAATGCCTCCTCCTGGTGGGGCAGGTTTTTAGTGCTCATAGGGATCACGGTGAGGCACAGCCCCTAATGTTATCACACTGCCAGGGAGACAGGCGCTGTCTGGCACAACTGGTCATTCTGCCCTGTGTAGAGCAGAAAGAAAGAAGTAACTCAGGGGAAGGAACAGTTAGTTCTGATGAGGGGAATCAGAGAAAGCTTCCTGGAGGAAGTCACCCTTGAATTAGGCCTTCCAGAAAAGGTGCTTTGAACTCAGACACAATTGAAGCAGTTGACCATTGCTGCTTATGTTGGTTTGGGTTTCTGAAAAGCAGACCCTGAGTCAAGGGTTCGAAAGCAAGTCTTTGATCTGGCTGGAGAGCTGGGGCCTGGGCCTGCTGCATTGGAATCTAACCTCCTTTCACTCCAAGCTGGGGAAAGAGCTGAGCTGGAGTCATGTACTCATTAACTAAGGGGAGAATACCTCCCCTTCATCACTGAGGACATCAATGGGGGATTCCTTTAAAGGCAGTGGCTACCGGCTAGCCAGTAAAACAAGGGAGAAATAAGTCCACTCTGGCCAGCAAATGCAACTTTGGTCTGGAACAGAGGTTCTCAAACTTTACCAGGCATCAGAATCACCTGGAGGGCTTTTACCACACAGAGTGCTGCAAGGCCTTACCCCCCGAATTTCTGATTTCAGTGCGTCCACGTGGGACCTGACATTTTGCTTTCTAACAGGTTCTCTAGTGAAGCTTAGGTGCTTTAAGAAGTACTGATTCACCCCAGGCGGGGTCTGGGTCTTTCCTGGATCGCTCTGGCTGTCCTGGGTTGTCGGTGAGGATGACTTAGTGCTCTGATGGCTGTGCTCTGCCACTGCTTCGCC